TGGCGGGGGTGCTTCTCTTACAGTAACAGCACAGGGGGTGCTTCTTATACAACGCAGCATAGGGAGAAGGGTGGAGAAGGGTGGTGCTCCTGAAAGTCTCTTATTTGTCCCCGGGCCCTCAGCCACAGTCAGGGGCCTGGAGAAAGCTCAGAGGCAAGAGATCCATTCATTTCTAATTCCCTGGGCAAATCTCTCTCCCTCCCTGTATTTGCAGTTTTCTCTGCGAACCGAATGGACTGCATGTGATGAACCATATTCCCTTCCAGCTCAAACAAAAAGATTCCACAGACTTGGATAACTTCTCGTTTTAGCTAATAACCAGCTCATGCCAAAGCGTGATTCATCTCTGCTGATTCTGCCTAGCAACCAGGCCTTCTCCCCACATCCCAAATCAACTCTCCCCCAAGAAAAATTCCTCCCCCACTACACACCCACCCAGCCCCCAGCGTCCCAGAGAGGAATGCAAGGCTTCAAGATCCCCTCCTCGCCTGTCTGCCAGCAGAATTTTAGCCCAACCTCAGAATGTCTCCGGCTCTGTCTGGAACAACTGGGGGAAGCTGTACCCCTCCTGGGATTAGAACAGGAAACAGCAGCAGAAGTGAGGCTGGCAAAAGCGCTGACCCAGCATGGGGAGATCATTTCTATTCTGATGCCTCACCCTCCTCTTCTGCCTGGTTCCTCAGGCCTCGCACATCGTCTGCATTTGAGGGAGGCGGGGAGGAAGAGATGGGTCAAGTGAGAGGAAGGGAGGTTTCATGCTTGAGACAAAACCAGCTTGTTCAGACTGCCTAGAATGTTTTCATCCAGTTTCCCACAGTGAGGAAAAAAACTGTATCATCATTTCAGTAGATTCGGGTAAACATTTGATCAGCTCCAATGCCCATTTGTGACAAAATCTTGGCAATCTAGGAAGAGAAAGGAATGTCCTTAACTTGATATGGGACAGTCACAAGAAAACTACAGCTAACATCTTGCGCACTGGTAAACCTTTGGAAGCATTCCCATTAAGATCAGGAACAAGGAAGGATGCTCACAGCTACTACCACCATGATTGCTATCACCACCTCCACCACCATTACCACCACCATAACAACCTACACCACTACCACCACCACCCCCATGGCCACCCCCACCATCTCCACCATCACCACCACCATCTCCACCACCTACACTACCACCATCACCACCATCATCACCACCACCATCACCATCACCACCACTATCACCACCATCACCATCACCATCACCATCACCACCACTATCACCACCACAACCATCACCTTCATCATCACCACCACCATTTCCACCACCTACACCACCACCATCACCACCACAATCACCACCATCACCACCACCACCATCACCACCTACACCACCACTGCCACCACTGCCATCACTGCCATCACCACCATCACCACCACCTACACCACCACCATCACCACCACCACCGCCGTCACCACCATCACCACCATTTCCACCACCTACACCACCACGATCACCACCACCACCACCACCACCGCCACCCCATCACCGCCACCATCACCACCATCACCACCATGATCACCACCAGCACCACCACCATCACCACCATCATCACCACCACCATCACCACCACCACCACCATCACCACCACCACCATCATCATCACCATCACCATTTCCACCATCTACACCACCACCATCACCACCATCACCACTACCACCATCAACACCATCAACAACAACACCATCACCACCATCACCCCCACCACCATCAACACCATTTCCAGCACCTACACCACTACCATTTCCACCGCTACCCCATCACCACCACCATCACCACGATCACCACCATCACCACCAGCACCACCACACCATCACCACCATTATCACCACCACCATCATCACCATCACCATTTCCACCACCCACACCACCACCATCACCACCACCACCACCATCACCACCACCACCATCACCCCCACCACCATCACCACCACCATTTCCACCACCTACACCACCACCATCACCACCACCATTTCCACCACCTACACCACCACCATCACCACCACCTCCACCACCACCACCATCATCATTACCACCATCTCCACTACCATCACCACCACCACCATCACCACCACCTCCACCAACACCACTACCACCATGACCACCTCCACCACCACCATCACCACCAACATTTCCACTACCATCACCACCACAACCACTACTACCTTCACCACCAACACCACCACCACCAGGACCACCTCTACCTTTCCCACCTCTACTACCTCCTCCACCACCCTTACCTCCTCCACCTCCAATATTACCACAATGACCTTCACCTCCACCATCACCAGCACCATCAGGACCACCTCCACCACCTCCACCTCCATGGCCATAACCTCCACCACCACCACCATCATCACTATTAGCACCACCTCTACCTCCACCAGCACCACCTCCTTCTCCACCTCCACCGCCACTGCCTGTTTCACCTTCACCAACACCACCATAACTTCTACAACCATCATGACTTCTACCATTACCACTGTCTCCACCACCACACCCAAGACCATCACCATCACCACTGCTTCCACCAACATTACAACTATTTCCTCTCTCGGCACCTCCACCACCACATCACAACCACCTCCTTCTCCACCTCCACCACCACCACTTCCTTCACCATCATCTCACCACCTCCTCCTCCTTCACCATCACCTCTGCCACCACCACTACTACCAGCATTACCACGACAATCACCATGACCCCATCATCCACCACCATCTACACCACCATCACTATCACAACCACCATCTCCACCTCCACCTCTACCATCACAATCACCATCACCTCCATCATTACCACCTCCGCAACCACCACCATTACCATCTCCACCTCCACTACCGTCTCCCTCACCTTCATCATCACTACCTCCACCTCCATTACCACCTCCACAACCAGCACTCTATTGAATTAGATGTTTCAGTGATTACAATAAGGCACATAAAAAGTTAATGAAGTGAAGAGCATAGAAAGGAAGCGATAAAACTTCCTTTCTATGGATGTTTCCATCATCTACCTAGAGATAAGTCTTGAATGAGCACTGGACAGTCAGGTGACCTGGACTAGAGACTGGCCTTGGCCATGACCTTTCTGGGCAACTTGAGTCTCTGTTTCCCATCCATAACTTGAGTGGTGGGACTAGTACAACTGTTTGTAAACTATGCTTCACTGAGCCTGAGGCCCCTATGGGGGCAAAGGGAGGTAAGCCTTGAAAGGTTATCCCATCCCTTTCAAGGGTTTAGTTACTTTCATTTGACTTAAATGTTAGGATCCCTTTATTTGAACAAAGGGTTCTGTGCCTCAAAAAAGTTGAAAATCACTGGATACACAACGAACATAAGTACAGACTACAGATAGAAATGAGTAATTCACTGGAGAGAAGCAGAGAAGCCAGAGCTCCGTAAGAGAAAGGCCCCTGGCTGGGTGTGGTTGGCTCATGCCTTTAATCCCAGCACTTTGGGAGGCCAAGGCAGGAGGATCACTTGGGCTCAGGAGTTTGAGACCAGCCTGAGTAACATAGCAAGACCCTGTCTCTACTAAAAAGAAAAAAATATTAGCCAAGCGTGATGGCATGCATCTGTGATCCCAGCTACTCCAAGGGAGGCCGAGATGAGAGGATCATTTGGGCCTGGGAGATCGACACTGCGGTGAGCTATGATTGCACCACTGCACTCCAACCTGGGGTGACAGAGCAAGACCCTATCTCAAACAAACAAAAAGAGTCAAAGCCCTGAGCCTCTCACTGGACGAGATTACCATTTCTTCCACCCCCTACACTGATGGGCACATGGGTGATTTCCTTTTTTTTCCACTTATGTTTTTTAAGATGGAGTCTCGCTCTATTGCCCAGGCTGCCGTGCAGTGGCATGATCTCAGTTCACTGCAGCCTCCACCTCGCAGGTTCAAGAGCTTCTCCTCCCTCAGCCTCCCAAGTAGCTGGGATTATAGGGTCCAGCCACCACGCCTGGCTAATTCTTGTATTTTAAGTAGAAACAGGGTTTCACCGTGTTGGCCAGGCTGGTCTGGAACTCCTGATCTCAAGTGATCCTCTCACCTTGACCTTCCAGAGTGCTGGGATAACAAGAGAGAGCCACCGCACCTAGCCTAGCCCTTTCTTTTCACTTATTCTAAACAACACTAGCATGAACATCCATGTGTACCCATTTTAGCATCCAAACACACGTATTTCTGCAGGCAAGTTCCAGAAAAGAATTTCTGGGTCAAAGGGCAAGCACATTTACAACACTAGGTAGGCGCAGTCATGTGACTCTCCAAGACATTTATCTCCATCGCAGTCTGCTCCAAACCAGACAGTGCAAAGAATCAGATCTGGATAAAGACAAGACGTTCTTGTCTTATGAGAGGTCATGGGAAGAATTCAAAAGTGTTACTGGCTCCTCAATAGTTGGCCCAGTCCTCCACCCAGAGCTCTGCTGCGGGCCAGAATGTGGGGAAACCAGCCTTTGACCCACCCTGCTTGACTTAGGTTATATAGCAGAAAAGATTTCCAGAGATTGAGGGGTTGTTAGATCACCGAGAAAGGACCAAAGGAGCTGCGTTTCTCCCAGGAGTCTCTTAAAATAGCGGGTAGGCAGAGGAGTTGATCTCTCTGGGATGGATTAAAGTGGGGAAAGAGGCTAGTTTCTCCCAAGACCTTGTGTAAGAATTGAGTGATTTTTTTTTTTTTTTTTTTTAGATAGGGCCCACTCTGTCATTCAGGCTGTGCAGCAGCATAATCATGGCTCACTACAGCTCAACTTCCCGGTCTCAGTCAAGCGATTCTCCCACCTCAGCCTCCTGAGTAGCTGGGACTACAGGCATGCGCTACCATGCCCGGTTAATTTTTGTATTTTTTGTAGAGACAGGGTCTTGCCATGTTGTCCAGGCTGGGCTCGAACTCCTGGGCTCAAGCGATCTGCCTGCCTCCGCCTCTCAAAGGGCTGAGATTACAGGGGTGAGTCATCATGCCTGATCCAATTCTTTTTGTTTAGAGGAAAACGCTATCCTGTATCTTCTTTTCCTTTGGCGCTAACCACAATGCTGCACTGGAACTCGGGGTTTTGGACTCACCCGCTCCCCGAAATTCAGCACACGCCTCTTTCTTCCCTTCTCTGCCTAGCTGTGGTCCAGAAAGTGCAAGGAACCTGCCCCAGGTGCCACAGCCAGGGAGGGGGCAGGGCAGGACCTCCACCCTGGGGCTCCCAACCGAGGGCCAGGACCTGCCCAGGGACCCCCCCCCCGCCCGCCACCTCCACGTCGGATTCTGGAGAGCCCCAGGGCTGCGGGCCTGGACTCCAGACTCCGTGGACACTCAGTACCTCCCGCACGCAGCGCCTGGAGCAGAAGCAAGAGTGTGTGAGTCTAGCGGGCCTGGCGTGATCGCACCAGCCACGAGCCCCGGGTCAGGCCACCTCAGCCACCGTGGGCTTCCCGCGCTGTAAGATGGGGATAAACAGCAGCCCGTTGGGTTACCCTTGGCGGGGCTAGGAGGCTAAGCGCCCACCAGCCTGGGTTCCCCTCCCGGGCTAGGTGTGCGCATGCGCCGTTTGTGAAACGGCAGGAAGGGCTCGGCCCAGCGGAGGCGTTTGTGATCAAGCCTCCAGGCGGACCAGGAGGGACGCAGCACCCGGCGGCTGTGAAGATATCCGCTGCTGCCGACAGAGCTGTGGGGTCATGCAGACGTTGGACACATTGGATTTGGACCCCATCCCCCATTCATTCATTCAGGACACATTGGCTTTGGGCCCCATCCTCCATTCACTCATTCATGCATGCATACATACATTCATTCATCGAACTGCAGTCACGGTGAAGGAGTGGTTAATACTACAGGGTCCAGCAGCCCCAAGAGGTTCAAAGCTGGGCGCAGGCACTTTCTGGCTGTGTGACCTTGGGCAATCACTTCACCGCTCTGGGCTTCTGCACCTTCCTCTGTAGAACGTGGATAACAGCAGTCCTTCCCACAGCTTTGTGAAGACCTGAAGTATAGAAAGTGCTTAGTCCCATACCTGGTACACAGTCATGCTCAAGAAGTGATGGAAATCCTAATGGTGAGTTTTAAACACTGAGGAAGGACAGAGGTGGGAGGTATGGGGGTCGAGGGGGTTTCCCTGAGCCCCTCATATCACAGCCATCCCCCCAGGGCAGGAGCATAGGAGATATCCAATTCCTCTGATGCCATGCATCCCCTCTGCTCCTCATTCAAGGGCCCAGCCTTGAAGAGGGCATAGTACTCCCTTCTCAACATTTATTGAGCACCTACTGAGTACCTAGCTCCAAACTGGACTCTAAGCATCAGGGCTCAGAGGAGGAGCCACCCAATCTCACAAATCAGAACTGCCCCAGGCAGCGTGCTCTTTAGAGCTTTCTGAGGGCAGGATCAGCAGCAGCATCAGAGTAGCCCTTCCTTATTCCATCCTGGGCCCTGGGCCACGCTCCCCGCCAGCATTTTCTCCTCTGGGCCCCCAACAGGGCAGGACCTGTGAAGCCCTGAGGCTCCAAGAGGAAGAGGAAGCTGCTCCACATCACAGCCTGGATGTGGAATTTGAAGGCTGGGATTTGAAACCAAGTCTCCTGGGAGGTGAGTCGGACATCTCAAGTTCTTCCCCAACTGTGCCTGAAGGACATTGCTACCCAGGCTCCATGCTGAAAAGTTTATATAGATGGGGACACAGCAGAGAGCAGGGGAAGATCCAGGTCACTCAGCTGGGTAATTGGCCCCGCTGGGTCCCCCTTCTCCTTCCACCTAGAAACGGCCCTGGTGCCTGCCCCAGATCAGCCCTAGCCTCTGGGCTCCCCCACACATGTCAGCAGCTACATCTCCAGCCACACTGGCCCAGACAACATCTAAGCCTTGGTTGTGGTTGCCCCACCTCAGAGGAAGACGGGGAACAGCTGAGGCATGACCCCTCACCCCACTGGGTGCACAGTCTCCGCAGAGGCATGCACGGATTGGAGGCCTTTCTCCCACCCAGAGGGTGGTGGGAACTGCCTCTTCTCCTGCCACATCCTTCTCCCCTCTCTGGGGTTTGTGGGTCTTACCGGGCTCCTGGCCCTGCTCTGGCCTCTCCAACACTTCCAGGCCCCTCTGCCCTGCCCTCCAATGAAAAGACGTTAAGACTGTAAAGTTTCAAGCATCTGAGACTCACTGATCTTATGATTCTGAAGCTTCTTAACTAGACCTGGAAAGAAAAGGTGACTCTAGAACAGCCGGATGTTTAGAGATAGAAGTTTCCCCCTTTCCCCTTCTGCAGCGCTGCACTGCACAGTTCACAGCTAACCACAGCTTACATTCCCACGGGGAGCCCATTCCAAGCACTTTAAAACGAACTCAACTCTCACCCACACTCCAAGGGAGGTACCACCATTATTGCCATTTCACAGATCAGGAAACTCAGGCCCATAGGGGTTAAGTGACTTATCCAAGGTCACACAGCCAGGAGATGGTAGAACTAGGATTCCAGCCCAGGTCATCTGAAACCTGCACCCCTAACCACCACACACACTTCTTGGAACATTTGTAAAGTGCATTCATATTTCTTAGCCTCACTGTATTCTAAGGGGAGAGGAGAGGCAGGGCAGGGGCTGTGGCCCCAGTGCCCCTCTTCCTTCCGCTGTCCTTTGCTGCCTGTAATCTTTGACCCAGTGACCCCTGGATGGGGAAGAAGAGGATGCAATCCTCATCCCTCTCCTTTCCCCTCCAGCTCTGACTATTGAGCCTGACTCCCCAGACTCTAAGGGAGAGACTGCAGGTGGTTACCCCAGGCCTGGACTCTCCAGCCTCCCAGGGCCCCCAAGGTGTCACTGCAGGGCCCCAGTGGGTGGCAGACGTCACAGGGTCCTCCAGCATCAGTGTCTCTGGCCAGAGCGGATTTATGAGCAGGGCTGTTTTTTGCTTTGCAGCTGCTGCCATAAACCCTGGACACCCCTGGGGAGAGGGAGCAGCTGCTGGGAAACCTCCCGGGCCCTGGAGCCATCGCCAAATCCCTGCTGCTATTTCTGAGCAGCCAAAAGAATCCTGAAATTAAAACCTCCTGAAAAATGGCAATTCCCCATCCCATCCCAGACAGATGAAGATCCTTCTCCCAAAATAGAAGAAGAACCAAGGAGGAAGCAGAGCTGAGCTGGACACAGCTCAAGACTGCCCACAGGAGATTCCTGCCCAGCTCTGCCCCACCCCAACCCCTGTCTGGTCCCCACATGCCCAACTATAAAATAAAGGGCTGGGATACTCAACTTTAGTACATCAGAATCACCTGCAGAGCTAAAACAGCACTCGGGAGTCCCAGGTGATGCTGATGCCCTCTGAACCTTGGAAGCTTCCCTCAGGTCACTTTCAGCTCACACATCCCCACTCTTCAAGGTTCAAGACTCCAACTACTGACTGTGTGATGTTGGATGAGTCACTTGACCTCTCTGAGTCTCCATTCTTCTTATCTATATAACGGAGAGAAAGAATGATCACCTCATCTTGAAGGCTGTGAGGAAAAAATCAAAGCACATTAGTAGTTCATAGCAACTTTCTTTGTAATGTCTAAAAACTGGAAGCCATCCAAGTGCCCATTAGCAGGTGAATGGATAAAGAAAGTGTGGTGCATTCAAACAACAGACTGCTACTCGGCAGTGAAAAGGAATGAGACACTGATACATACAAAAACATGAATACTTCATGTTTTTATCTGGCCCTGGCTAATTTTTTAATTTTTTTTTTTTAGAGATGGGGTTGGGGGGCAGTCTCACTACGTTTTCAGGCTGGTCTCAAACGCCTGGCCTCAAGTGATCCTCCTGTTTTTATTTCTCAAAGTGCTGGGATTACAGGCCACTGGGCCTGGTCAAATTGTACACTTTAAATATGTGGATTTTATCGTGTGTCAGTTAACCCTCGGTAAAGCAGTAAAAAATATTATTGGTAAAGCGTCAGCCATGTACATGATAGTCCTTTTACAAATGGCAGCTATTCCTATTATTAATCACTGTAGCTACGTCTAGACGATTCTTTGATTAATTTTCATCTGTTCCACTAGAATACAGCCTCAGGTCTGTTTTGCTAACACTGCGTTCCTAATACCCAGCACATAGTAGGTGCTTGTGAAATAGTTGTGGTTGGATATTGGAGAAGCTATGAACCTGCTACTTTCTCCTGAGCCACTTCAGAACACAGGGGGTTAATTAATCCCAGCAGGAGCAGATTGCATGCTTCTAAGACTGTGAATGAGAACCAGGACAGGCATGACCCACAGTCAACACCCCTGGGAGGAGGACAGGGGAGGTCTAAACAGGGATGCGGGACCCATGATGAACACACACCCCACTGCACTGATAGTGGAGGGCTTGGCCTTTAGAACATTGATATGTTCTAAAATGAGGCAGCTGAAGACCCTTGAGGAACTAGACAGACTGGGTTCAAATCCCAGCTTTGCTGGGCTGTATGACCTCAGGCAAGTCACTGCAACACTCTGAGCCTCAGTTTTCTCATCTGTACAACACGGGTACTGACATTGCTCAGCTCTCTGTGGGGAGTGCTGTGAGGGTTAAATATGGTTATGGATTATGGTACATTGATTCACGTGCTCTCCTTTAGGCTTACACACTTGTACTTGCACACACACGGAACCTTTAATGTGTGCCAGGAACCATGCCAAGTGCTAGGAGGCAGGCTAGGCCAACCCCCAGGTCTCTCTCCTTGTGGACTCTACATCTTGGCAGTGACAATTGTTCAGCTGTATCCTCAGAGACTCTGATGTCATTGGTGTAGGTGGGGCCTGGGAGCCAGTATTTTTGATTTTTTATACAGATAGGGTCTTACCATGTTACCCAGACTGGTCTTGAAATTCTGATCCCAAGCAATCCTCCTGTCTCAACCTCCCAAAGTACTGGAATTACAGACATGAGCCAGCATACCTGGCCTAGATGTCAACTTTTTTTCAAGACGGGGTCCCGCTCTGTCTCTGAGGCTGGAGGGCAGGGGTTGATTGCTGCTCACTGCAGCCTCAACCTCCTGGGCTCAGTTAATCCTCCTGCCTTAGCCTCCCAAATAGCTGGGACCACAGGTGCCCACCACCGCTCCTGGATGTTTTTTATTATTACTATTTTAAAGACAGGGTCCCCCTGTGTTGCCCAGGCTGATCTCAAACTCTTAGTACAAACTCCTGCCTTGGCCTCCCAAAGTGCTGGGATTACAGGTGTGAGCCACCCAGCACTGGCTGGGAGCCAGTATTTTGTTAAACTCCCAGGTAATCCCTATATGCAGGGTGGAGACACCTGCTACATGGGGTAGGGTCATTCCCTCTTTATACACATAAAAACGGAGGCCCAGAGAGATGAGGTGACTTGCCCAAGGCCACACAGCTAAGAAAGAGTGGAGCTGTGACTGACAGACAAGGTGACCATGGGACCAGAATCACCTTAAACATCACAAGAGAGTTAAAGACAATGTGCCCAGCGGAGATGTGCCCACAGCCCGATCCCGCTCTCACCTTCAACTTCACCCAATCAGGGAACTCTCAGCCCTCCAGGGCTGATCAGAGCAGACCAAGGGGCTGGGGAGGAATCCCACTTCCAGCCAGTGGCCCTTTAGCTCCCCCAGCACCCACACAGGTGACCAGAATCCCCCATCTCCACCCTGAGCTGGGGTCCATGTCTTGGGGTAGTTCTCTCTTCCTCCCCCTCCTCCTTTAAAATGACAGCAGGCCTGGCTCGGGGACAGGGTCACAGGCTGGGAGCAGCTGTGCCACTTTACAAGCCCAGAGACAGTGGGGGACTGTCCAGGCCTTGGCAGACTTCTGGGCCCCTGAGAACAGTGGAACCCTCTCCCCAAGCCTCAAGCCCAATACTCCCCCGACCCTGCCTACCCCGCCCCCCACCCGGCAACCACCGTCTCCCTCTATGGCCCAATGTTCACTGGTGCCAGCTAGATGTGTGTCCATAAAATGCCTCTCTAGGTAACCCCATCGAAGATTGGAGGAGTTTTCAGCAGGAGAGGAACCCTGCTATCCTCTTCCCAAGGGATTCACTCACTCATTCATTCTTTCATTCATTCATTCTTCAAAGAAGCATTAGAGCCCGTTGGAGAATTCAAACACTGGGGTCAGACTGCTGGGCTGCAATTCTGGCTGTGGGACCTCAGCAGCCAACATCATCACTTCTCTTGGCCTCAGTTTCCTCATCTGTGACACAGGAATAATAACAGAGCCCACCCCAGAGGGCTGCAAATCTCAACGAGTTAATGATGCCGAGTGCTGAGAGCAGGGCCTGGCATATAACAGGGACTATTAATTGGAAGCTATTATTATCATTGAGCTAAGGGACTGTGGAAGAGGGATGGGGTGGAAGCTATCAGGGAAGGCTCCCAGGAGGAAAGGACATCTAGACCCAAAGCTAAAGGATGAGGGGGAATTAGCAAGGCAGAAGGGGTTGGGAGGGGTGGAAAGGTGTCATAGGCAGAAGGAACAGCAGCTGTAAAAGCTCAGAGGTGAGGAAGAGGTGAACTGCATTGGTGCCCAGGCCGCCTCCTTCATCCAGCTCCCACCAGTCTTGGGGGCCACAGGCCATGACTGAGGTCACAAACTCCATGTCCTCTGGAGAGCCCCGCTGATCGTTAGTGGAGGGCTGCAGTCAGGAGCTGCTGATCAGGGAGTTTGCCCCTGCCTGCTCCCCCAGGGTCTCTAATGACTGTTTCTGTTTTACTAGATTTTTGTGTATCAGTCACGTCCCAACACCTAAGACCCCGCAGGAGCTTAGCAACAAGAAGAAAGCACAGCCCATGAACCCAGAGAAGTTGAACAATTTGATCAGAGCCTCGCAGCACAGGTATTCCTCTTCCACCCTCCCGCTGTTTTCCGCAGGCCAGGCCGGGCCGAGAAAGGGAGGGTCCTTCCCCACTGAGTGAGACAGAGGCCATTGTGTGTTATGAAACCCAAACCTCAGGGGCCCCCTCTGGGTGGAGGTGGGGTCGGTGGAGGGGAGGGGCTGCAGGGGATGGCCTACTGCCCCCCCAACCCCAGGGACCCAGCACATGCTCCCAGCCCCAGCCACATCTGGATTCCAGCTGGCAGCTCCTGAGGCCCAGGGTGCAGGGGAGAAGTTACTGCAGGAACTTGCCATCAAAGACCTAGAGGAGGTTGGTGGGCAGGAGACAAAAGACAGAGGCCGACTGCAGGGCCAGCGCACACCTCCTACCCCACAGTCCTGGCCAAGGCTGCAGTGAGGGGGGCACTGTCCGAGCCCCACCCCAGTCCTTAGCCACCTGCAGGGGAAACAGAGGTGAGTGACTCTCCCATGGCCACAGTCAGTGGCAGAGCCGGGTGTGGAACCTGGATCTGTGTGGCCACAAGTCCAGAGCTGGTACTCCACCCCTGGGGACACGAGTTCCAGCCCATTCCTCGGAGCTCTGGTCTTTCCTTTCTTTCCCATATCAATCTGTCCCTTCAGCCTCCATGGCTGGGCTGAGGTGTTTCCCCAGAAAGTTGTCCCCATCCCATGCAAGAGCCCCTCCCCAGCAGGCTCATTCCCCGTGCCTCCTAGAAAACCGGTGAGACTTCAGGCCAGAATAAAGGTTTATTGTGCTGGTGCGTTATATCTTAGCACCTGGAGAGCTGTGCGGAGGTTGGGGGAGCCCCAGATGGAGGGATGGGGGAGAGGACCCCCGCCAGAGCCTCCATAAAGCAGGACAGAGCCCAGGCTCCCTGTCGAGGACTGACAAATATTGTGGACACAGGCTGCCAGACAATGTGTGAGCGAAGGGGGGTGGCCAGGGCCCCCATGCTCCAGGCTGGGCGTCAGAAACCCTCCCCAGTCCCTCGGACTCCCCAGGGTGGAGGTTCCCTCAAACACAGCCACTGGCTTCCAGGCTGCTTCGGAGGCCAGATGGGAAGAGTTCCATTCATTCACCCCAATGAGAAATTCACCCCCAGGCAGGAGGTGCTTGGGGAGCACTTGAGAGGGTTTAAATGCCCTACCCCCACATCCCTAATCCTGGACCAACCAGAAACGGGGCACCTTCAGGAAAGTTAACAGCCGTATTTTCCAGAGTGGGTGCTGCAGGACTTAACCCTGTAGCTGTTTAAAAAAGTAGTTTGGGCTGGGAGCAGTGGCTCACACCTGTAATCCCAGCACTTTGGGAGGCCGAGGAGAGCGGATCACCTGAAGGTCAGGAGTTCCAGACCAGCCTGGCCAACATGGTGAAGCCCAATTTCTACTAAAAATACAAAAATTAGCCAGGTGTGGTGGTGGGCACCTGTAATCCCAGCTACTCGGGAGGCTGAGGCAGGAGAATCGCTTGAACCTGGGAGGTGGAGGTTGCAGTGAGCTGAGGTTGCGGTGAGCTGAGATGGCGCTACTGGACTCCAGCCTGAGCAACAGAGCGAGCCTCCGTCTCAAAGAAAAAAATAAATCTTGATTCCAAAGAACGCCTCAGGGAAGCTAGTCTGGGAAATGCTCATTTAGGGACCTGTCATCATGTGTGTGTGCAGGGGACCTCTCACAGAAATGTCCTGATTAACCACACCCACTTCTGCTACTAGAGCGCTAAGCACAGGCGGGACGACACTAAAATATTCAGCATTGAGAGGACACAAGAAGAGGACAATTTTCAGTTCCAAACTATTGCCTCTCGCCAGGCCACATGTTGTCTTACGAAGGCTGAGCACCTCGGCATCTCTCATCCAGCCTCTTCCAAAACTCCCACTTACTCTTTGCTCCCTTGATGGAAAAGCAGTGATATTTGCCCCGTGGATGACCTGAGACGTATGATTCCCAAATGACGTGGCTGATTTAGTGGACTGTTTTTTGTTTTGTAGAGATGGGGGTCTCACAATGTTGCCAGGGCTGGTTTTGAAATCTTCGTCTCAAGTGATGTCCACTTGGCCTCCCAAAACGCTGGGATTATAGGCATGAGCCTCCACACCCAGCCTCGAGGGATGTTTAATCTTGACTGTCACAGGGACACGTGCCCTCCCTCGCCTTCTCAGGGGAGCTGTGCTTTAGGATATAGCCCTTTGGGGCTGCAGAGGTGAAGGATGTCAGCACTTGGTTAGATTCCTCCTGGGGACCGGGGAACCAGCATCTCTGTCTGCTGTAGAATCAGGACATGCTGGGATTGGCACCACAGGGTGGCCGAGGAGGGAGTGTCAGGAAGCACTCAGGACTGAAGGCCTTTTCATGCCCAGGGAGGTGACCAGTTGGGGCCCCAACAGTCAGGGCTGGCAGCCCGGGAGGCCTGTTAGACACTGGGGTGGACGCTGTTGCAAGTGCAGGAGGCTTTGGGGGGACCCTCTGGTCCCTGGGCTTCCTGGGCTAACAAGAGGGGCCCTTCCAGCTCCCCTTGGCCCTCACCGGCCACCAGAGCCCCCTCAGGCCCCCCTGAGCATGGTTCCTCCTGCACCTCTGGTGTCTCCACCGGGACTCCATGTCCCTGGACTTCCTGGTTCCCATCCTGGCTGCCCTTCTCTTCCTCCGTTCCCCTGCCCTCCACCATCCTGGCTCCATCCCCACCACCTGGTGCAGGCCTGGTGGGGGACCTGAGGTTCTGGGTGGCAGCCAGGATGTCGGCCTGGAGCTGCTGGGAGGAATCCAGGGCTTCCTCGGGCCGGCTGTCGGGGGCCCTGTCAGGGACCTCACTGAAGGCCCGGGAGCCCCCGGCTCGGTCAGTCTGGTCCACATACTTCTTCTTGGGGAAGGATGACGGGTAATAGGCCGAGGCCTTGTGCTTCTGCCGGGTGATGACTGCGGCACAGACAATGAACATCAGCAGAAAGGCCAGGGAGCCCACCACGGCTATCAGCATCACGTACTGGCGGAAGAAGTCCACAATCCCATCTAGGAAGTTGGTGGGGTGTGAGGGGCCCCCCAGAGATGTGGGCTGGGGTCCCGTCGCTGTGGGGCTGAGGGCTGGGGTCCAAGCTGGTGGGAGGCTCGGGGAGGAGTCCGATGAGCCCTCAGCCTCCCCACTACCTGCCACGTCCTCTGGGAACGAGGTCTTCAGGGGCACAGAGCGGGAGTTGGTGCCAGGCACAGACCCCAGGAGCAGCAACAGAGGGATGAGGAGGCCGGGGGCTGCCGCCAAAACCATGGTGCCCCCAGGACCTGTGAGACACGAGGGAGGAGAGAAGTCATGGTGGGATTCTAGGGTGTCAGATTCAGCAACAGGCTCGCCAGCCCCCAGGAGGAACAGGGAGCATGAAACATCTTCCAGCAAGTCCCTTCCATTCGCAGGGCCTGAGCCCCGCTGGTTCAGATGTGGGGTACAGATGTGCTCCCCCACTTCCCTGGAGGCCCAGGGGTCCAGGGGCTAAATCTTATTCATCTCAGCCTCCTCAGGGTTTTTGGCCCCATATCTGGTATACAGTAAGTGCTCAATAAATGTACTCTGACTGACCTGGCTGAATTAATAATGATAACTTACACTTTCATGGCTTCATGTGTCAGCCACTGTTTTAAGTTTCTTACACGGAATTTCTCATTGAATCCGGATCACTGCCCAGTGTGGGAGGTTCTGATTAGGCCCATTTTGCAGATGAAAAAACTGAGGCTGAGAGGGACATGGTGACTTGCCAGGGAAGAGCTAGAGTCTGGATCCAAGCAGGAAGGGAGAAAGGATGGCAGGGCTGAGTAAGTGAGAAACCAAGTGAGTGACTGAGGGAGCCGAGTGACACCCCACCCCCTACCCACCACCCTGAGACCCTTCCCTCCAGCCTCCAGCCCTTCTCTGGTCCCGTTCCCCTTAGGCTCTTGTCCCCATGCTTTGGGCGGCCAAAGTGGCTTCACATGGCCACATCCTGGTGGTTCTGGGGCTTTCTCAAATCTTCCCCTGGCCAGCTCTACCTTCTTCTGCAAGAGATTCCTAGGGGCCCAGGCGGAGTGGCTCATGCCTATAATCCCAGCACTTTGGGAAGCTAAGATAGGCAAATCATTTGAGGTCAGGAGTTCAAGACCAGCCTGGCCAACATGGTAAAACCCCATCTCTACTAAAAATACAAAAATGAGCTGGGCGTGGTGGCATGAACCTGTAATCCTACCTACTTGGGAGGCCCAGGCAGAAAAATCACTTGAACCTGGGTGGTGGAGGTTGCAGTGAGCCGAGATGATGCCACTGTACTCTCCAGCATGGGCAACAGAGTGAGAACCTACCTCAAGAAAAGAAAAGGGGGAAAAAAAGAAGATTCCTAGGGTTTGAAGCCCCTAGGTCTCTGAGCTAGGCAGGGGGCCTGGATGCCAGGGGCATGCATGGGCAGCCCTGCCCCCACCCCGCCCTCACCCCCAGGCTCCAAGCAGGAGCCAGGATGGGCCCTGGGGTGGGGAAGTCCTGGTGCCTGAGACTAAGCTGAGCTGCCAACACGCCCCACCCCCACTAGATGGGAACCAGATGAGCCCAGGGCCTCCCTGCCCGGCTGGAAGGTTGCTCCCGGGTGAACCCCAAGACCCCGCCTGGCCCAGACAGCACCACTGATGAATTAATTCCTCATGGCCAGAGTTTGACAGAGGAGCTGAGTTTCAAAACACTAACTCTCCCAGCCGGTGAGCTGGGGGCTCCCAGCTGCTCAGACAAACCCAGGGACAATTCACTGTGCTGCCTCTGACAACGCCTGCCATGCCCAGCGGGTGTCCTGGTTCCCCCAGCTGGCTTGAGTTTAGAGGCTCCAACACAGAAAAGTCTTAGGATCCCCTGTACTGAGGCCTGAGGGGACTGAAGTGGAGAGACAAGAGGTCCAGAGGGCAGGCCTGGGGCCACACACAAGTTCCCGGGCTGGAGGAGGAAGTCAGGTTCCCAAGGCCTTGGCTGTGGTCACACCTCCAGCATCTGGGCCTCAGGGCCTGCTTGGCTAAGCAGAGGACACTACCTTCCCCACAGGTACCAGGAGGCTTCCGGAGGAGAGGTAAGACCCAGGCTGGGCCATTTAGGGGCTTGTTCCAGGTGACCTGAGGCTTCTCTGAGACACGGCTTCCATTGAAATTAATTGCATCAGCCAGGTGTGGTGGCTCATGCCTGTAATCCCAGCATTTTGGGAGACCAAGGTGAGAAGATCACTTGAGCTCAGGAGTTCAAGATTAGCCTGGTCAACACAGCAAAATCCTGTCTCTACTAAAAACACCAAAAATTAGCCAGGCATAGTGATCCCAGGTACCAAGCAGGCTGAGGTGGGAGAATCACCTGAGCCCGGGATGTTGAGGCTGCAGTGAGCAGAGGTGGTGCTACATTCCAGCCTGGGTAACAAAGCAAGACCCTGACTCAAAAGAAAAGAAAGAAATTAATTGTGCTGACATAAATGTGAACAAACTGGCTTAGATGGCAAAAAATAAAAAATAATTCCAGGACATAAAAAGAGGCAAAACTGGCCAGGCGTGGTGGCTCACATTTGTAATCCCAGCACTTTGGGAGGCCGAGGCTGGAGGATTGATTGAGGGCAAGAATTTGGGCAACATAGTGAGACCCCCTCTCTACAGAAAAATTGAAAAGTAACCAGGTCTGGTGGTGTGTGCCTGTAGTCCCAGCTACTTGGGAGGATCACTTGAGCCCAGGAGTTCAGGACCAGCCTGGGCAACATAGAGAAACCTCCAACTCTATGAAATATATTAAATTATTTCAATTTTTTGAAAAAGAGACAAAGCTTCTCGGGCTCATTTTAAATGAGCTGGTCGCCATGCTTTCCTCGGGGGTACTCATCTGAGCTCTCTTCATGCCTTTAATCCTGCAAGAGCCATTTTCTCCATTTTACAGATGAGGAAACAGAGGTTCAGAGACAGACAGTGACTTGCCCAAGGACACACAGATGGTGAGTAGCTGAGCTGGGATTCGAACCTTCCTCTGTCTGATCCCAGGAGTTTACACGCATCACACTCAAACTCATACACAGCCATACACACACAGGCACACACACCACACACACAAAACCATGCACACATGCCACACACACACACCCATACACACCCGACACACAGCTATGCACACACATCCTCCCACACACACCCATCATACATACATACATATACTACACACAATCATACACACACATGCACACACACCACACACCCATATATACACATGCACACACTGCACACACAATCATATATACACATGCCACACACACCCATATGCACACATACATATACTACACACATATATACACATGCACACACTGTACACACAATCATATAAACACACCACACACACCCATATACACACATACATATACTACACACAGTCATATACACACATGCACACACAACCATGCACACACACCACACACACATCTCTACACGCATGCACATACTACACAATTATACACTCATGAACACACAGCCATGCCACACACCCATATACACGGATGCACATGCTACATACATAATCATACACACATGCACACACAACTGCACACACAACCATGCACACATGCCACACACCTATATACACATGTACATGCTACACACACAACCATGCACACATGACACACTACACACACATACACATGCACACACACCACAGACACAACCATGCACACACACACACCCATATGTATATGCACAGACTACGCACACATGCATACACTACACACACACACAACCACACACACACACTCACACAACCATACACATACACCACACACACCTACACAAGCACACACACATGCACACACCACACACTCTAGGCCAGGAATGGCTTGTTCCCGCTGGTGGACATCACCTTTCAGTTGCTAAATGAGGTGCAGGACCCCCTCCCCTCTCTAGCACCTGTTAGCAAATGTTCCTACAGATACCCTTGAGCTTTGGGGCTGTGTCCTGCCCGTCGCCTCCCAGCCTCCTGCCCCCAGTCAAGCCCAGGAGAGAGCTTTCAGGGCAACAACGGCCACTTCTCACTGCAGAGGGCATCTGGGACTGTGGGTGGCTGGAGGCCCGCTCAAGTTCTGGCTGGGTCAAGAATCCCAGCTCCATCGGGTCCAGCTCTGCATCTGGCTCCGGTGGGCCTCACTTTCCTCATCCATAAGTTGGGACAGGGTGACCACCGGTGGCACCTCCCAGAGCTGTTAGGGTCGCACGAGACAACTTTCAGAGAGTGCCTGATGCAGAGCGGCTGAGCCCTGAGGAATGGTGAGGTCTGGGGTAGCTGAATTCCTGCCCTAGCCGAGGTCCAGGTTCAGCCAGCAATTTCCCACCCTGAGCAGATGAATGAGCGCCCTCGCTGGATGGGAACATGAGCTCACCGTCTGTTCCAGCTGCCGCCCAGGGAAAGACCAACCTTTTCACTCCGTTCAGTGAAACTTCCTCAGCTCTGGTCACTGAGGAATGCAGAACCAAACACACAGGTACACACACACACACATGCACACATACACACACGTACACACAACACACACACACGAAGTCAGAGGTAGAGGGCAAGAAAGGATAACACACAAACTGCCACTGACTCTTCAAGGCTGAAACCCTGACTCTCAGACTCCCCTGCACCCCACAACCCCTCCTGGCTCCTAGGGAAAGGTGGGGCAATGTGTGGAGGACCTGACCCCACCTGCAGCCAGCAGAGCTCGCAGGAGATGGCTGTGTGGCCCTGGGCGGCCCTTGCCCTCTCTGGGCCTCCGTTTCCCATCTGTGGATGAAGCACTGGCCTGGCTGGCTCTGGAAGCATCATTCTGCCTGCCCGGTGCCCCCCACCTCCTCCTGGACCCTAATTTTTTCAAGCACTCAGAATTTCACAGGCCATTAGGTGCTGGGGTGAGGCCCAACACTTCTTGCTTCATCCTAGAGGCAACTCAGGTCCAGAGACTGGGAACTGCCTGCCCAGGTCATACAGCAAATCAAGGCCGAGCCCGGCAAAGCCCTGAAAAGAGAGGCCTTTCTTGGTATATTCCAGAGGAGGTCACATCCCAGCTACGTGTCCTTGTGCTGGGCATGTCACCTCTCTGAGCCTCAGTTTCCATACCTGTACAGTGAGGATAAGAGCCACCTCCCTGGACTGTTGTTAGGAAAACACGCTGCCGTGCTTGGCACATAGTGGGTGCCAATTATCATGGACCATGTGATTGCCCAGGACTCCCCCCCGAGGGACACCTCAGGCAGGGCTGTCTGTATAAGTGTGACAAACTCCCTAAGACAGTCCTGAGTATGTGGAGGAGTACATCCACCCCTTGAGGCCTGGGGACCCCAAGACTTGGGGCTAGGGGGCCAGCCTCTGCCCCACTCCCACCTAGAGACTGGTGGCCTTAGGGAGAGGGGTGGCCCTTGGAAACCTGGCTTCAATTAGTGGCCTTGTGTGGGGGAGGGGGTTCTGGTTGGAACGCTGCACATGCCTCCCACCCCAGGACCAGCCGAGGACAGGGACCTGGGCCCCTGAAGGTCTGAATGGGGAAAGAGGTCCTGGGGGCACAGCGCCCCTCTGTGTGCACGCGCGTGCGCGCGCACACACACACACAGCAGCATGGACACACAATATAAAGACACACAACACAGGCACACCGACTCACACAACACTAAGACACCCGGCAGCACTCTCACAGCCCACACACACAGAGATCACACACATACACAACCCCCAACACACAGCCGATCCCACACACAGGACAATATGGTCCACACCACCCTCAGATGGATCCTGGAAGCAACAGCCGGGCGTCCACTTGCGGAGAAATGGAAGCAACACACCTCCTACACCAAGGCCCCAGCCACACACGCACAACACTCTGGCCCACCCCAGCCCACCCTAACACTGCACGTGGGTCTCAGATTCCATCTCACTCGTGCACGTAACACCAAACACACACTCAAAGCACACACACACTTAGAGAGGCCCCCCAGAGTGCTCAGAGAGTCCCCAGTCCCTAAGCTCCAAGACAGCCCCAGGCTCTCAGGACAGAGGAGGGGACCCCAGGACTCACCAGTTCCTTGGCTCACAGAACTGGGTGCTCCTGCCGAATGGAGTGAGAGTGGGGTGCGCCTGGGCTGGGAGAGACAGTCTGCGCTGGTGCCCAGGGCTGCTCTGGGCTGGCGCCTGCCCGCCCTCCCTCCTCCTGTCCCTCCTCCCGTCCCTCCTCCTTCCTCCCTCCCCGGCTGGGCCTCGGGGCCAGCTTGATTTCATTAAGAGGGTTTGGGGTGGGGACAGGGGGAGGGGAGGGGCTGCTCTCAGGCCACACGCAATCCCACCCTTGCTCACACTCCTGCTCTGGGGAAGACCAGATGTGGTGCTTCCTCCCTGACCTCAGGTCCCCAGAGCAGGATGAGACAGACAGACAGACAGACAGGGTTGTCCTGCAGCGCTCCCCCAGACATTGAGCTGAGGTTCTGCCTACTTTGCTCCCCAATACCTGCAAAAGGGGACAAAGTCAGGGAGGTTCAGAGGCCTCTGGAAGTGGGAAGGAAAACTCCCTGTCCCTGTGTGGCTTCCAGGCTCAGGGTGCAGCGTGGGAGCTGGGATTTGATTTAGAGAGAGGCTTGATGGTGGGTCCCAGCCTGAGACAGAGACCCCCTCTCTACCCTTCCCCTCTCCAGCCCTCAGTTTCCCATTTATAGGGATGAGCGGGAAGCTTTCTGGGCTACCTCTGACTCTGATGTTCTGGGATCCGTGGCCTCATGATGCCCCCAAATGATAGTAGCTCGAATAGGAGTTGGAGCCCCATTTCACAGAGGGGGAAAGTGAGGCAGGTGAGTTCTAATGGTTCAAGCAGGGTCCTGAGGTGAATCAGGCACAGCCCAGCCTTAGGGACCTCACAGACTCTTAAGGAGAAGGACACCTAAGTAAGTCACTGTTTACCAAACAGAAAGGGGTCAGAGAACTCCAAGACAGAGAGACCGAGATAAAAGGGGCAGGAAGCCATCCTGGAGAGCATGCCTGTGAAGAAGTGGAAGCCGGGCAAAGCAGGCCCTGGAAAGGCATTCCACCTGGGAGGACCAGCGTGGTAAAGGTACGGCGGCTGGGAATGGCACCACGCAGAAGCCGCCACGATTATATTAGGCTGGAGCGTGGACCAAAGAGAGGATCACGTAGTACGGATCAGAGACAGGCAGGAGCCAGGCTAAAGCCTCGGGAAGTCACCCAGGAGGCAGTAGGGAGCCATCGAGGGCTTGGAACAGCGGAGTGCATGAAGAATGAGTGCCTGCACTCCCGGTAGGAACCAAGGCTAGATTATCATTGTTCCCTGAAATGGACCCAGCAGTTCTCACTCACTCCCAGAAAACTGGGGCGGTCCTTTGCTTGGGAAATAAAATCAGAGACTTTCCCATCTTCTGTGGAAATCACCCCAAACCCTGCATCCTGGCGGGAACAGGGGGCCATCCACCAGTAAACGCCCACACATTCACGCACACACATGTCCCGGGGGTAAGTGGCTGCCCACAAACATGTTGTAGTAGCTGCGCCCACTTTAAGGTCACCAGAGGGTGGGGTGCCCGTCTCAGGCTGGGACCCACCATCAGGTCTCTCTCTAAAACACATCCCAGTTCCCACACTGTACCCTGACCTGTCTTAGACCAGATGTGGGGCAGGCAGGAGCAGCCAAACCTCCCCCAGGGCCGCCAGCAGGGCAAGAAGCCCTTCCCCAATGTTCTGAGGGCTGCAGGCTGGGGACCCTGGGAAGTTGAGGAGCAGGGACCCAGCCAACCCAAATAGAGACTGCTCCCTTCACAGGTGGCCCCGGAGGCCCAACCTGAGGGAACCCCTCAGAGTCCCCTTCCCCTTGTTCTGTGCCTCTCCTTCCTGGGCAGAGCATCCCCCTCAAGGAGGGGTAATGAGAGTTGGAGACATTGGCAGGACCTGGGCTAAAGTCTCAGAAGGTCACCCAGGAGGCAGCAGGGAGCCAGTGAGGGTTTGGAGGGTTTGCTCTGTGGTCTGTGGCCTCAAGATGCCCCCAATAATAGTAGCTTGAATAGGAATTGGAGCCCCATTTCACAGAGGGGGAAAGTGAGGCAGGTGAGTTCTAATGGCTCAAGCAGGGTCCTGAGGCGAGTCAGTGGCAGGCCCTGGAACCAGGACAACTGGCTGACCTGAGGAGTTCCGTGGATGAGTGGCCCCTTGCATTAATTCATTCATTCATTCAGCAAGAGGCAGACAGACCCAGTTCAAATCTTGCCTCTACCGTGTCCTGCCCCACCTGGAGCCTCTGTTTCCTCCTCTGTAAAATGGAGATGGAGACTCCTTACTACTCGGAAGCTGGCAGGGGAAGGCAGAGGAGCTAGGGAGCAGGCACGTGTTCAGTGATGTCAAAAGCACAGGTCAAGGCCAAGGGTATGAGTTTCCTACTGCTGCTGTAACAAATGCCCACAGATTCAAGGCCAGACGCCACTCACAGTCATGGTCTTGCAATTCCTGCAGTCAGGAGTCCCAAACGGACCACATGAAGCTAAAAATCAGTGTCAGCGGGGCTTGCGTTCACTCTGGAGTCTTTGGGGGAGAATCTGCTGGCAAGATTCTAGAAGCTGCTGGCATTCCTTGGCTCTTAGGCTTCTTCCTCCACCCTCCCGGCCAGTGGTAGTGGGCAGGGTCCTTTTCATACTGCCATCTCTCTTCCGGTTCCCTTTCCCATGTTGAAGGCCCCTAGTGACGACATTGGGCCCACTCTGATAATCCAGGATAATCTCCCTAAGATCCTTAATTTAACCACATTGGCAAATCCCTTTTGCCAGATAAGGTGTGACACACTCAGCCGGGTGTAGTGGCTCACACCTGTAACCCTAGCTACTCAGGAGGCCGAGTGGGAGGATCACTTGAGGCTAGGAGTTCAAGACCAGCCTGGGCAATCTAGTGAGATCCTCTCTCTAAACATTTTTTTGTAATTAGCTGGGTGTCACACCCCTATTGTCCCAGCTACTCGGGAGGCTGAGGTGAGAGTATTGCTTGAGCCCAAGAGTTCAAGGCTGCAGTGAGCTATGATTATGCCACTGCACTCCAGCCTGGGTGTGCACAGAGCACAACCTCAAATCTTTAAAAAAAAAAAAAAAGGTAACATACAGATGTCTTTGTGGGGAGGGGCATTATTCGGCCTGCCACCCCAGCTTGAATATTGCTATCACTGGCTCCCTACGGGGCTGGAATCATCCACTCTCAAAGCACTGGGTTTTTCTCCCCCTATAGATCCCAACACGGTGCCTCAAACACAGCAGGCCCTTTATGTGCTTGTGGGGAACTGAATAAGTGCAGGAAGGCTGTCTGGTGGGCACAGAAACTGAGATTCATGGTGGGGTGGTGCCACCTCCCCACAGTCCATCAGCACGGTGGGAGGTCAGAGCCTTTTCTTCTGCACCAGCCCCTGTGTCAGAGCCTCTGGAAATGGGACCAGCCCCCTCCCAAGAGGCTTGATCCCCAGAATGGGGCTCCTACCTCCCTCTGTCCTGAAGGGCTTTCAGACCATGTTAACATACCACACACACACACACACACACACACACACACACACACACACAGGCTGTCCTTAAACTGAGCATCCCAACCCACAACCTGAGGACAGGACAGCAACAATGTCAGTCACTGATCGGAGGGAAAGAAGGAGCCCTGAGTCTCAGCCCCAGCTCAGGCAAAAACTGTGGGCAGCAGAGCAATCGCTGCCTTTCTCTGGGCTGCAGCTAAATGTGGGGTTGGACTAGACGCTTGGCACGAGCTAAGCTCTTGCACTAGCACTCCAAATTTCATTCATTCTACAAACATTTTTTTTAATGTCAATTTATTTTTAAATTTCTTTATTCTATTTTATTTTTTATTTTTTGAGACAAGATCTCACTCTGCCTTCCAGGCGGCAGTGCAGTGGCACAATCACAGCTCACGGAGCCCTCGACTTCCTGGGTTCAGATGATCATCCCACCTCAGCCCCCCAAGTAGCTGAGATTACAGGCATGAGCCACTGCACCCGGCCAATGTATTTTTAAATTTCTAAAAAAAATTATGGACAATAATAGCCATACCTATGTATATACATATATTCCTTTAGACCTTAATTGCACACAGGTCAAGGTCAGGCCCTGGAGACAGTGACAGACTAACAGAGGCACAGTTTGCAGAGTAGTGGGGAGACTGGCAATGAGCAAGTAAACAAACGAACAAATGTCTAACTGCAAAGTGGGCTAAGAGTTGGGAGTGGTTAGTTCAGGGGCCAAAAGACCACCTGGCTGGGAGGCTAGTCTGGCCCCGGGCCTCACAGGGGCCTCTGTGAGGAGGTGACAGTGGAGCTGCTCTTGAAGATCAGGAGGAGGCATTTAGAAAGTCAAGGACACAAGAGCGTGCTCAGCCACCAGCAGCACTTGCAAAGGCCCTGAGGTGGGCAGCCGCACAGCACCTTCCAGGCAGCCCCTGAAGATAATTGCAGGAGTCCAGGAACCAGGTCTGCAGGCACCAGGAGCTCTCCCTGTTTTGTGAACCGCTGTAACTTCAGCATCCAAGACAGTGCCTGGAACACCGTTGGTGCCCGTAAATGCTTGTAGACTGTGTGAATGACCGCTGTGAACTCCACGGCTGCATTTGTAGGTTTTCACCAGATAGCACCCAAGGGTTCACTCCAGCGGCTCCGCATTCATCCTAAGAGCCTCACATCCCATGTTCTCCAGTTTGGGGGCCTGCTATGGCCTGGCCTGGATGTTCCCTGTAGCCTGTTCTACCGTGGCTCCCGGGGGCACAGGCAGGCTTTGCTGCTCACTTGTAGCCTGTAATTTCAGAGGCATAGAGTGGCACCTGGGCCCTCTGCCCAGCCTAGAAGCAGTTCAGAGACCTCACCCTGCGCCCACCGTGCAATTAGCCGCCAGGGTCCACACCCTGCTGGGCAGCCATGGCCAGGGAGGTAAGGAGGGTGAGGGAAAAACCCACCCCACCTCAGCCTCTGCCAGGGTCCTCCCATCTGCGCCTAGGGCGGCCACCCTGCCCACCACAGCCCCCAGCTCCAGTCCCTTGTGGGTGCAGGGCCTTTTCTAATTACAGAGCCCTGGTGGCCACTGGAGCCTGTCCTTTGGGCAAAAATAGGCCCAGCCTTTCTTGTGGCAAGAGAGGCTGGGCTGTGGCCCCATTACGATACAGGCCTGGCCTTTGGAGGGACACCCATGGAGTGGCCTCTCGCCTG